ACTAAATGTGAGAGCTACACTACACATCAGATCAACACTCAGTTCTATCAAGACCAATTAATTACACAACAGAAAAAGAAGCTTAGTTGACAGGTCAAGTTTAATGATCAGTGTCAGATGAAGTAGTTTAGCAAAGATCCTCAAAATTTGGAATCCCATTTTAGACAGCATGTTGCATCTAGCTGAATGTAACAAATAATTAGATATCCTTCCATGAGTACAGCGGCAACAGAGAGGTCATTGTTCTTTCATTCCAGTTGTAACACAGTTCAGCAGTCTTTCATAGCTTTTAAGTATCACAGAATGTCTGACATCTGATTAGACTCCGCTCATAATGAACTGGTTCATTCTCAAGGAAAAATTGTGTTATTTTCTTGACAGACAATCTACTTTTTAACTCTGAGAGCTTAATTACACAATGAGATACAGGCACAGGTTTCTCTGTGTTTCTTTATTGCATAGTCACACGCTAAGGTAACAGTTGAAAATCCAGCAGCTAGAAGTTTCTTTACATCATGTAAAAACTGAGGAAAAAGGCCTGTATCCTAGGAAAACAAAAGGCATTCCCTGTTACATATGTTGTCTGCAAAGACAATTATTTCAGTAAATTGCAATTAGGCAGGTAACATACATTAAAATACAGAATGTAACAACTGCCTCCAAAACAAGATGCACAAAGGAAAAAGCAAAGACGAGCCAAAACCCACAAGTTACGACATTAAAAATTAAGGCATACAAATTTTAAAGCAAATACTATTGACTATGAAGTCGAGCAGAAGGGACCCTTCCTCAAAAGTAAGCCGTGTAGAATTCCAGTACTCTAAAACCCAGCAGGTTTTTGTGAGATCAAAGCAATCTCCATTTCTATTGCTTTCAAAGCCAAAAGATACACTCCTGTCAGACTTGCGGTAAAAATACCGATGCAAGCCAGTCATGACAGAAGACAAGAGAAGACTGGTCAGGTATACGTGGTGGCATACACATTAAGTGCACTGGTGTGACAAGTTCTGGAATGTAGGAACACGGATCAAACATTCAAACGCCAAATGAAGTCATTCCAACTGTGAAGTCACCAAGAACAAGACTTCTGATAAGAGTGACAGTTGACAGAAATGTTGGAAGTCAGACCGACACAGATGCAGATCTACGCTCAAAAAAATCTTCTCTCCCTTTTCAGTAAGCTGTCCTCAAAATTACTTCTATTACAGTCTTTAATTCCTAGTACTTATTGCTACAGGAACACTTCCCAGTACAGTACTATAACAGAAGTGACTACCGTGCAAGGACAAATACAAATGTGTGCTTTGACCCTTTTGTATTGTACCATCTAAAAGGAGAACCTAAAGATTCCTATGCAGACACTTTTCAAATAGAGTTTAACTTAGTTGTGCAAAATTGTTACAAATATTAGCTCTAGTCCAACAATCAAATCAAATTATTTCCCCTCCCCATGCAACTGAGAGAATAAGGCAAAAGAATTACATCCCATCTCCCATTTTACATACACATGCAGGCACATAGAACTTTTGCAAGGCCGATACAAGTCACTGTAACACAAAAGTTAAAAAACAAACAAAAAACCTTTCTGTTCATTTCCAGACTGCTAATTTCAACAACAATCCACTCTGCAACCAAGATACTGCCTACCTTAACCAGAGATGCTAAAACACTAACAGGTAAATGCAAGACTCAAAAATCAGCAAAATAAGTGTGACAGAAAATCCCTGTACAGCTTATTTTTGTAGCACAGTAGAGTTATTTTTTTCTACATTGACCCTGTTTCCAGATATTCAAAACAATCAGTGCTGAAATTGAAATCGATTAATTTTATGTCTGTATACTTAGATGTGATTTTATTCAAATATGTATGGAGTATAGCTTATTAACTGTATGACTGGATAATACACATATTCTCTAACAAAAGTTCCACGATGATACTTTAAATAAGTGAATCTCTATGAGAATTTTAAACAGATAATAGAATAATCAACATCATCTCTGATGGATGCATGGTGTTGAGCATGTTAAAGAGATTTACACACCTAGGAAGTAAAACAAGGATCTATTTCTTTGAATCAGAAGAAAATGCTGTTCAGTAGAGCAAACCTAACCATTGAGAACTCAGTCAGGTATGAGCATGCTACAGCATTATGAAGCATCTGAAGATCAAACTATTACACCACAGTAGCTCCCCAAGAACAAAATACATATTTTGTATTTGCATATACTAGGACAGCTATATTAACTAGCGAAAAAAGCAACACAAGCACATAAGAACTTGGGTGAAAATTACCAAGGCAACTAAAAAACTTTGAGCAACTGCATAAAGCTTTTTAAAAGACCCATTCATATATGATAGGGATAGCAATGCAGGCTACATATAGCTAGCTTAGTGCTGCTGAGTTACCTGTATTTTTAAATGTGAAGGCAGCATTAAGATCTCTTCTTATATTAGTTTTTCCTAACTGCTAATAAAGAGTAGCAAAAATCTCAAAGATAAACAGGATATATGCCAGTTCTGAATCACTGCCATCTTTCCACAGGGTCCTCCACAGAAAAGTGTTTGCAAGACCAGCACTGAACGAAAACCTCAAGCTTAAAAATTACTAGATCATGTTCATTCAGGCAGAATGTACAAGAATTCTTCTCCTATTGCCAGAACTATAAATATCCCTTCCAAAATTATTTTGGAACCTGTCATTCTCTGGCAAAACCATCACTGATGTGATTCTGCAGACCAGGAACATAGTAAAAAGAACATACAACAAAGTAAAAAACCAAAGACTGTATAGTTCATCTGAGATGGTATAGTTCAACCAAGCTGGTATGGATGGTGTAGTTCTACACAGTTCAACCAAGATGGTAAAGTACAACCGAGCAGTAAGGGCTTGGGAGAGGTAATGAAACTAAAGATATGTACGGTCATGTTGAATATACTACACAGTAAAAAATAAGTATACTACACTGGGATAGAAGAGAGATTTTCTTACATTTACCACATAGAGTCACTCTCTGGTTAAGTGGCCACATTTCAAATTGCCACGGGAGAAAGGCACAGCTGTTGCAACGTTAACAACAGCCTGAGGTAGAGTTATTAAAGGAAATAAAGGCAAGATCTGGGCACTTAATTGGTTAAACAAGAATATTCAAAAACCTTAAAATCATCAGGGTCACACTAAAAAGTGTTAAAGTGCTTTTAAATTGAACACTTGGACTTTAAAAAAGGTATCAATTCCAAAATTCTGAATTTAGCTAGCAATCCTGGCTTCACTTGTGCTGAATCACACCAGCAACCAGTGACTCTGCTTACTGGCAGAAGCAGACCAAGTAACATCTGTTCTCCAAGAAGACTCCTCAAACAGAATCAATCAAGATCACATCATGAGTTTACAGACAGACCTGCTCCTCATCAGAAAATCTGATCATATATTTGGTACATGAATTTCAAGCACTGGCACACTGTTAAATACAGTAAAGCATAAAAAGTCAGTGAGAAAGGTGCTCGAGAGAAAATTACAGCTAGTAGTAGTATGCTTCAGAGGTAGATAATACTTGTGGCAGTTGGACCGTAACTCTAGGATAAGGCTCCACAGCTGGCAGCTTACACAACAATTTGTCTGGTCCACATATAAATTTCAACCACCACTTAACTTCATTACCATAAGGTGCTATAGGAGAGCTGAAAGAGTTGGGGTTGGTCAGCCTGGAGAAGAGAAGGCTCCAGGGAGACCTTACTGCAGCCTGCCAGTACTTAAAGGGGGCTTACAAGAAAGTTGGGGACAGACTCTTTAGCAGGGACTGTTGCAATAGGACAAAGTGTAACGGTTTTAAACTAAAAGAGGGCAGACTAGATTTAGACTAGCTATAAGGAAGAAATTTTTCACAATGAGGGTGGTAAAACACTGGAACTCTCACTGCCCAGAGAGGTGGTAGATGCCCCATCCCTCGAAACATTCCAGGTCAGATTGGACGGGGCTCTGAGCAACCTGATCTAGCTGAAGATGTCCCTGCTCATTACAGGGCAGTTGGACTAGATGGCCTTAAAAGGTCCCTTTCAACCCAAAGATTCTATAATTCTATAAATACAATCTGGTCCCCAGTTGTCCTGAAGCTAGATAACTCTTTTTTTAAGAAAAGTACATCTTAAGACAAAACTTTGAAGACTGCACACTGGTCCTCTATTAAGTTACTGAAAAAAAAAAAAAAAAAAATATCTTTAAAGTATTTGCTGCATTTTGTCCACAGTCTCCTAGCACTGTTTCATTGTTCCCCCTGCCCCAACCCCCACTCAATCCCAGTGGGAGGGTCATCTGGGGCTTATCTAATTTTGTTTTCATTTGATGTCATCAGTTTCCTGGGATCAGTTGAACATTTTTGCCTGATTTGCTGCTCTTGCCAATCTTGAGATACTGGTGAATTCTCTTCTGCTGTCTTCTCCTGGTACATTAATACAGAAAAGTAAAAGCTGCCAAAGCTAAAAGCTTCTGCATTTGTTGTAAGGTTTTAGAATAAGTCTTCTGGCTTGTGGTGTAGATAGAATGGACATTCTGTGGCATCCATATCGAACATGGATCATGCAGTCAATAGAATGGAAAGAGGTTAGATTCTATAAGTAATTTTTTCCTTCTCCTCTCACCAGCCTAAGCACCAATGAAAAAGGAAGAAGATAAAATGTGACTAGAGGAGCTAGTTCTCTTCCCAAACCTCTGAAATAATTCCACAAAATGTCCTGATCAATATTAATACTTTTCACTTCTTCACACTTTCTGATTGCTAGGATGTTTTTAGTTGGGAATATTAATTCATGCAAGTCACTGAAAGAACATTTGAAGAGACACAGAACAATTCAGAAAACAGGCAGGGGAAGAGACCTCCTGCCGTATTTTTCCTTTAACTGTCAAAATAATTCCCAATTGATCCCTGCTTTAATGCAAGTCAATTTGCTAAGGGTTAATATTATCTACTTCTTAAAAAACACAACACTAAAAAACCCTACAGCTTCTCTACTGAAGGTCAAATGGCACTTAGCAGAACTGACACTGGCTGGCTGTGAAACTGCACGTTGTGCACCCACACTGCAGAAAGAGGAAAAATAATTAAAAAATAATGTCAGTTATTCCCAGGTATTGCAGTCTGGACTGACATTTCATGGGCCATCTACGGTCTGATCTGCTCAGCATGGTCCTTGGGCTGTACTTCAGTATTCAAGAGATGCCTGCTTTGGAAGGATGAACGGACGGTTCGGTTCATTAATGGCTGAAGAGGGCGAAAGTTGTCTACCATTCTCTTTTCTTCTTCACCATCTGAAGTAAAGAGCAGCATCCGAAATGCCTCCAGCTGAGAATGAGAAAGGTCCAGTTTTGTAACTTTACTAACTGGAGAATTATTGCAGTTCATGACAAAACACAATCATTCATGCTTGGAAAAAAAAATATCAAAGGTACTATTACATTTGAGTTCTGAGAAATTTTAGCACAAAATTCTGGCTCTTCTTTGTCACCTGCTGTCACCTCTCATCCATATCAATGCAGAAGATGAATTGTCAGTCATCTGCCATCTTTAGACAAATAAAATCTCAAATGTGGCACATCTGAGATGGAACCGATTCCCATTCAAATACTGGAACACATGCCATCTTAAATAAACCTCTTCAACGTTCTTAATTTACGCACTTCCTGGAGTTCCTTATACAGATGTCCATATGCTGGCACCCAGAAAAGAGGGAACCTCAACAAGCAACAATCTACGTAGTTGTTGTTCTCAGCGGTTTATAACTGAGGATTAAAATAAAGTATGCAGCAGATTAGCTTTTAATGCTCACAAGGGCATTACAATGTTAAATAAACTATGAGCCTTTCTATGCCATAGAAGAATGAGACTACAGAAGAGCCAAAGGGGGGGGGGGGGAAGGGAGAAAGAGCCAAGGGGAAAAAAAAAAAGGTTTCAATTGAAAAGAAGAATGATACACTATGCATTCTGTTCTCTCTGCTCTGTTAACAATCTTCCGTTCTTCCTGCCCTGTTCTTTTATGTAAACTAAAATACTGAGATCACGTACATGCCTGTTCTTCAGAGTTAGTGTTTGTTTGGAGCATGACCTTCTAGATGGACAAGCTCCACGCAAAAAATTGTATTTAAAAAAAGTGAAAAAAAATCAGGATTTTGCCTCATGTTGTTGGGACTCGCACTTCAAATCCTCAAAAAACAGGGACAACGCACTGATAATTTTCAGTGCCTCTTAAACCATGAAAAAATGGTAGATTTTTCGGGGGTTGTTCATTTTTACTTGCTTTACAACAGTCTCCAAGACTTGTTCTGTGCTGTAATGCCCCTCAAAGTACTCCACTTCTCTGAATAGACAAAAAAAATCCCGAAAACTTCTAACAAAACCCACAACTGCAGTACAATTCCAATGAGTCCTCCTTCTGACCATTTTTACTTGCCCCTACATCTACTTCACACCAAGGAACAGATAGCATCATGCTGAAACATGAAGTACTAAAGTTAAAAGCAGTAGTGGGCATATGGTGACAAGTTAGGGTTGGTCTCGAAACAGACTACTGACCACGAACTCGTCCACTTGAAGTAACTTCTGTAATGCAAACGTTTGCAGAAACCTTTTTTTGCCTGTTGTTTTTAAAGAGGAATTTAAAAAAGGAATTCAAGGACAGTACAGTCCAATATAGAGTAAACATGCCTACAAAGGCAAAGGAGAAAACCCAATGGGGACTCACTCTCTCGCCATCAGAATGGCATGGGAAGGACTTGGGGTCTACCCAAGGGAAGAACAGAGGATTAGCCCTTGCAGTCTCTGCAAGACTTCTGTGCAAATGCATGTGGCTATCAAGAATATGCACAAAAGGTCAGAGTTTGGAATTTCACAAAACCTGCCCTTTCTCCTCTCTCCCTATCACAAAAAGGGCTGCATCCTGGTAAGGAGAGCAAAATTATGCAGAGTTCCAATAAAAAAACCTTAGAAGTTTTCAAGAGGCAGCTTCCAGCACAAGGCATTGTTTATCACAGACCAAGATAACACTCTATGGAAGAGCTAGAGCATCTTTAAGTGCTTACTGAAGAGGTCTTAATTCTTTCAATGTTAGCTGCTGTTAATGTCAAGATACCTCCCCAAACAAATACTGGGTGTGAAGCAGCCACTGATCTCTATGTATTCCCAGAGAATTACTGGTACTGGTAAGCAAGTACTTCTGTGCATCTTCCCTTCCGTGGCAGCAGGCAGTCAAACAGGTATGGTATGATTTGAAATGTAAGCATGAGATTTACCTGATTCTCATCAACCTCTATTGGCTTCTTTTTAATAATCCATGTGACTGATTCGGTAAGTGGAGGAGTAGTCAAAGAGCCTGCGTAGGTCCAATAGTCAGGGCATGAAGGTATCAAACAGGAGGGATCAAAGACATCAAACTCGATAACAGTGTCCTAAACACCAGAAAAAATTTAATTTTAAAAACTGTACTTTTAGAAAAAAAGACAGAATATTAAAAAAGATCTAAGAATGAGATTAAATACTATATGTGTTATGTATGCATACGCAAAATTATTGTGAATATTAATAATGATCTTCATAAATTAATAATTTATAACCCCATAAACTTCTACAAAATTGGTAAGCTGGGTGTGAGGCATGAGAGGCAGCTAGTGTATACACAAAATTTAAATACTTCTATTGTCCCCACAAGCCATTAGGAATTCAGTGCAGAAGAAACAAGGAGCAACTGACTACATCTTTGTGGGAGCTAGAAGAAAACAGGAAAAAGAAAGAGTAAGTGGTGGAATAAGTTCAGGTAGTTCTGCCAGATACACTTAGACTGCAAACAATAGTGCTTTTACTTTTCACCACATGATTTTAGGCAGTGGGAAGAGGGAAGAGGACTAAAGTTTTATTTAAATCACATCAAATATTCATGTCTCCAGAACATGCACTCCCACAAGTGAGATACCAGACAGCATGTAGGAGCTTCAGAGCGCATGATTTCCTACACGAACATTTTACTCCTGGAGTATTTCCAGGATGTACTGGCAATGCAGGAAAGGAAGATCCTGTTTTTCCTTAGACAGGCTTTATCAGATCCCCACTGAGAATGAGAAATAATACAGTAAAGAATTTTTCAAAAATAGGAGGTTACAAGAGATTCTAGATGGGAGCTTTCACTCTTCATGTGAAAGAGGAAGGTGCAAGGACATGAGAATGGGTATTATCTGACCTTCCTCCTCCTCACCAGGGTGATGCTCCTCAGAGTTTGCTGCTTAAGTCAGTGATAACGCTGGCAAGGCAACAAGGGTTTTCAGATGTTTTAAACCAAATGCTGATGAGTTGCTGGGTGACCAACACCCTTTGGAAATAAGATCCCTTTTAGAGCAGCCCACATGCAACTTAATGAGGTTAATGATTGATACCACTTCTTTTTTTTTAAAGATCTTGACTTTAGTTTCTTTCAAATTCATATGCTGTAAAACGTTATATTCTCATAACGGATGTATATTCACAGATTTTTTTTGTAGGTCTTTTGGCACTGAACTGACTTGTTTGGCATTTATCTGGCAGAATTTTCATTGCACTGACATAAATATTTATTTTACTTGGATTAAAAAAAATCCTTACTGTGATAAATAATGGCGCAGTGACTTCAACTGGATATGCTTACAAGCCAGCAAAATTCTTGATGTGTATTTTTAGTGTGCATACTTTCAAAAAGTAATGGGCACCTGGAGGAGCATGAGCTGCTTCTGAGCACTCTCAGAGACGCAGCACTCCCTCTCCTGGCAGAAGTCAGAAATCAGCTATGAAAAAAAAAGAGTCCCATTCCCCTAGCAGAAAATCTACAGCGTTTTAAAAAAAGCAAACAATAATCTCCTCCTCAAAGATCAGAAAGCCTTAATTCCACAAGAAATAAACTACCACTTTACACAGCACAGAAAGCTCCTCCCAGTTAAACAACATAGGAAAACTAATCCAGTGGCATCTGTTTCATAGAAGCAGAAGGGCTGGCTTCAGGAGGGCATACATTAAACCTGTATATGCCCTTCTAAGAGGACACAATCTAAGAGC